GAGAGAGAGAGAGAGAGAGAGAGAGAGAGAGAGAAAGAGATACATAGATGCCCCAAAAGAAGAATTAAAAAAGGGAGGGGAAGGGGGAGGATGAGTTGGTTGGAAAGGACTTTTTTGTATCAACACCTAAGGTTCCGTCATAACATTGTGCAGGTATCTGCTTTGGACATAATATTAATATTCCAGTTGTTTGATGGACTCTATAAAATTCTGAATCACAATCGACATTTTGTAAACAACTGCCATGCAACCTTTGTTTGTACTGCTTTTAAATGAAATATAAAGATAAAATATTCCATTTCGTTGCAAATCAATATTACGAGTTGCCTGCGCATAAACTGGTTGCAATGCGTTTGGAATACGAAAAGACTAAATGAACCAAAAGACTTGACCACACACAAAACGAGATCACAATAAGTGATCACCGAGCAGTTAGCTTAACTAAGAACTTACTGAACAGAACAGAGCATATTTATAGAGAAAATCTATGTAAAAGACTCTTTGAATTTAGGCTGTCGAGAATTGAACAACATTCTGCAACATCCCCCCCCCCCTAAATCAGATAACTACACAATAGGTCTTTCCTGTTAGAATCAATAGATTTGTTTATAGGCTTAGATGAGAAAACTCAACAGGGAAACAAACAAATATATATGAAACCACCCGCTAGTCACCCATTTACCTCGGTCTTCCAACCACCTTTTACCTCCACCAACATTTTCTAAAAGTCTTTTTTTTTCAATTTCTCTCCCGATGTAGTACCGCACGAAGAACGCTCTCCAAACCGGGAGACTCCATCGTCTTCTCCAACCTTTGCCTGCGATGTTTACGGGACGTGTATTTCCACGAGTCTGAGGACCTCTTGGGCTGCTCTGATGTTCCGGGAATCAAACACACGAGCGACTTTTGAAATGGGACACCTCTTCGGCGTGCACCTTCCCTCGCGTCCTGGCGCGGCCCTGGTGGGGCTGAGGGGAGACAAGAAGAAGACGCCACGAGCGTGCACGGCGGAGAGTCTTTGAAGACATCTGGGCAAACGACACTGCCGTGAGATTGCCGGGGATGTAACCAATTGTACGTTTGTGGATTTACATTTTGGGATGATGCACACTGTCCTGTTTATCATTCAACTTTTGACGGTCTTATTTTGTTTAAGTACGTTAGTGTCTCCAGTTGAATAGTAGTAAGGTAAAAAGTGTAAAATATTATTCAAGCAAATCACAACAACGAATATTTACCTACTATCAGATCACTTTAGAAAACTGGATGAGGTACGCAATTCTGACAGTGTACTTTTTGATGAAATCGGACAGCTGAATGACAAGCAGAATCGTCTGCAGACGACATAAGTTGACTCTTTCAGTAATCTCAGGTTCTGTGGTGGCTTATTTACAGTGGCTATTTGAGGTGATTTAACGCCCACAAGCGTTCTCTATGAAAGTTAAGAAATGTATGCAGTTGCAATTTTCAATGCTCTAAAATAGGCTGACAGCAGAGCACTAAACATCATACAGAATTTTAAAAAGAGAAACACCAGAAGGACAAGCATGCAAAAAACGTACGTTGTTTCTATTTGGTTTGTTTGGAGAGGGGTGGTGATGGAGTCTACAAAGGAACAAATTCAAGCACCTGTTTCAATATCTTGCTTTGAAATGCATGAAAGAAACTCTGAGATGAGACCAAAAATGTGAACCACTGTCGCAATTGGGGACAATCTATGATTAAAGATATTTCTTTTTTCAAGTAGAATATCATGGAAGGAAAAGAAATCAAATGAGATAGCGCTTGATAAAGCCCACGTGGGACGCTCACTGTTAAAAACAATGAAGAAATGGCAAATGCAGTTTGGGACACCTGAATGGACATAAAGGTCTTGAACATCTTGCTGTCACTGGCAAAATTGAAGGCAAACGAGGCAGGGTAGGCCCAGACCAAACTACTTAGGGAACCTAAACAAATGTGTAACGGGGAGAGATAAGGGAAACGTATCTTTTTTTAAGAGCATCCAAGCAAAAGAATGAACGGGGAACCATGATCGCCAATGTCTGTCGCAGATTTGGCTTTGGATGATCTTGCGAGTGGCACGTTAGCGCAAATAGATAGATAGATTGATAGACAGAGATAGAGAGATAGATAGGCAGATACTGGAAGGCAGACATACAGGCAGACAGAGGGAGAGAGAGAGAGAGAGAGA